CACTGGCAAAAATCAAAATTCTTTGGGCCACTATATAGTGACTTTAGTGACTTTAACTTTACATGTGTATTAAATACTCCTGAGTACTACCCTTAAAGTTTTAGCATGGGGGACATGGTGGTGCAACGGGTTAAAGCACAGCACTATGAAGCTATCTGTGGCCACTGCAGCACAAGTTCGATTCCTGACCAGGGAGCTGACGCACATGGCGAGGCAGACCTCTCCTGACCTGCCCGCTGCTCCCCTCAGCAGTGTATTTCAGCAGAACTGCCTCTTCTGCTCTCTACTTTGTCTCTGGTGAATCTTCTGCACCCCTGCACCTCTGGCTTATACCCCAGTTCTTGTATGCATAAATAAATCTTTAAAAATAAAATTTTAGCATGGCAGGGCTAGAGTTCTCAGAAATTATCCAAACAGGGGTGGTACATCCCTAAGCTCCTGTGCTGCCAGGGTCTCAAGCTCCCAAGGACCATTTACTGGTTACTGCCACCCACAAAGTACCACTGCTCCTCAGCTGTTGTTTTTAGTCAAGGCATCAGGACCACCCGCCGGAACCATTATTATTCTTTTCAGCCTCAGCTCTTTTTCTTTTCCAGGCAAAATGCTTTCTAACCCTTTCTGGCAAATTTTATATTTCAACTTAATCATTTTTATGGGTGATGTGGAAATTCATTTCCCAAAGCTAGGCTGTATTTGTGGAGACCCTTTGGTTAGGAAACTGGTTAAAGTCTTCACTCTTCCTTCCATTAACCAACTATTTGAAAGTGATCAAGTCCAGTTTTTCTCAGAGTATTTCCTCAATTGTAACAAGCATGTCAGATTATATGATGTAAGATCCTCTATAGATGTCTGAATTTGCAGGGGGGAAAGACAACATTATACTCCAATGTTGTTCTTTTAGAAAATGGAGGTAAAATGCAAGAAAATAAACCCCAAGCTCCTATTGACTGCCAATGCAATTTCTAAAATCAGATACCAACCCAATTTGTAGATGACTGTTCTTTGTAAGAACTAATGTTTTAAATTACTGCCATAAGGGACTGCAGGATCTTAAATCATTGATGAAAATCTAACCATTTTCTCTATGCTCTAGGTCACAATGCAGGAAAAGTGCCCTGATACACTTTAGAGAACTAAAAGGATGCCCTTGTTAGCCAGATAATTCAATTAACTGGAACCAGCACTGTGGTAGAGCTTTTAGTGCTAAAGAAATACTTTAGATCTATTATTTATCATAGGCTTACACATACCTAGCACCAACACTAAGTGCTTTACAAGCATTTTCCCATTTAATTCTCACAACTTCTGAGAGAAACAGTGATGGCTTGCAGGAATCTCAACTCGGTCTGATACATTCTGACTGAGCAACAAATGATATATCAATAAGATTATGCTTTTGTTTATACTTAAATATACACACATAAACTCACAAAATGTTTTTTTCAAGTAATACTATTTATAAGAGCAATCAAACCAAAATTTCAAGGACAATTCCTAGACCCAGAATATTTTTTTAAAATTTTATAACAGTTTATTTTTACATCATTTTGTACATTTTTTTTCCATCTCAATTGTAGACCCAGAATCTTTTACAAAAATATATGCCACAATTCCTTAAATCCATTGTAAAATAATTACTCTCCAAATATATTATAGCTGAAAAACAATTTCTAAAATAACCCTCCCATGAATTTAAAGTCATATTTAAATTCATTTAGCTTGCTCCAGAAAAACTCATCACTCATGTCCTCTGATATATGGGAAGATCTCTAACTCCTGCACACTTTTGCATAGACATCTTTCACCACAAATGCAGTGTAAAAAGCCCAGCGCTCTTTGCCTGATCTGTCCAGCTGGCAAACTTAACTCAAGTCCCTGCCAGTGTATTCTCTTGTAAATCCCCCAAGCAGAGGCTGATGTCAGTATTCTTTCTCACACTGGCACTCTACACTCCTCTGTTGCCATTCTGAACCTCAATGATGCAGCCTTCTGTTTGTACAAACCTGGTAGGTGCGCAAGGGCAGAACCCATGCAGCTTCACCTAGTGTTCCCCAGCTCCCTAATGAAGAACACAGCACATACAGCTGGGGTTCATTACTGAACAACTAATAAAATCCAACAAATCATAAAGATAAATATTCCCAGAGATTATTAACTTGTACCAATCTACTTTAACTAACCTACATGCTATGCTGTAACTGTAGTTTTAAGACCAGCAGACAGAATTGTTTTTTGAAGATGTCCATTTGGCAACTAAATACAATGTACAAAAATACTGTGTTGGGGAATACTGGGGTTAAAAACAAAGGGGCCCATCAAAAACGGGGGGTGGGGTGGGGTGGGGAGGGAAGTGCACGGGATTTTGGTGATGGCACACGGGTGACATGGTTGATGGGAAACCCGCGGGGATTACAATTGAGATGGGAAAAAAAATGTACAAAATGATGTAAAAATAAACTGTTATAAAACAAAACAAAAAACAAAGGGGCCCTATCTCATTGGGGGCCATAATAGAATGGAAGACAGATTTACAATTGATTCAATGTACTGTTCAATTAAAAACAGTAGTAGAAAAAAGAATGGCTGTAGAAACTACAAAGTGAAAAGGTTAATTATGATTGAGAAGGATGGAGAAGAGATAGATAACATTTAAGCTGGGCCCTGATAAATGGGTAGAAAAGTAAATTCTTGGTCAGAGAACAAACAGTTTGAGCAAAAAAAGTTCAGATGTATTTGATAATAGATTATACATTGTAAGGTATATTATACACTGTAAAATTTCTTCCTATTAGATATAAGCATCTAAAAGAAAATGCGATGTGAAGTCTGATGATAAGGATAGTATTCAACACTTAAAATATAAAAAGAATAGTATTCACAGCTTCAAAGACAACAATATATTGAATATCATATCCCTTTGATCTTTTCTCTCCCCTTTAAAGTGTTGCTGGAGACTTCACTAGTTACTATTAAGATCAGCGCATTATTAAGCAACATAAGTTTATTCACTGACAAAGGGAAGAATCAGTTATTAAAAGATAACTTCACTTTATACACTAACCACTGTAGATTCTTGATTCTTTCATCCTAAAAAAACATAACATCAAGGTATTAATATATGTTCATAGATGTAAGAAATAGTAACAGCAGCTGACAACTAACCATTGCTACTACTCATTTAATCCTCACTCTATCCTATGAGATAGGAATAACATTAGTTCTATTTTGTTAGATGAGGAAACTTATTTGCTGAAAAGTGAAATAAGTTGCCCAAGGTGACCAAGTGTCAGAATTGGCTCTTAAACCACTGTCTTGTGTGTACACATGCACATACACACTCTTCCATGTTAATTTAAATAATAGTGTCAATACAACTTTGTGCATGGAAAACACCACACTCTTCTGTATTGTATAACAATGACTCAAAATTTTTAATGTGGCAAAATGTACATAACATGAAAAAGTACTATCTTAACCATTTTAATTGCAAAGCTCAGTATTGTGCAACTAGTTCTTCACATCTCTTTTAAATGATCTATCTTTAACTCCACTTCTTTTTATATCAAAGATGAACGTGTGCTAGTTTTCTAATTTCTTCTTGTGTGAACCTTTACATTGATTAGAATTTATGAACTGGAAGCATGTGACAGGTATTAACATCCGGTAATATCCTTTTTAAAATATAAGCTCTTACCTTTACTATTCCTATTTTGTTAAAATATACTTTTTATAGAATTAGAATTTCTGAGCACCTTCCATAGACTTTTAAGTATTACTGTTTTTTAAAAAGATTTATTTATTTATGTATATAGAACTGGGGTACAAGCCAGAGGTGCAGGGGTGGTGAGAGGATTCACCAGAGACAGAGTGGGGAGCAGAAGAGGCCTACTGACGAAATACACTGCAGAGGGGAGCAGCGGGCGGGTCAAGAGAGGTCTGCTGTGCCATGTGGGTCAGCTCCGGGGCTGGAGACTGAACTCATACTGAAGTGGCTTTAGTTTCTTAATGCTGTGCTTTAACCTGCTGTGCCACCAGGGAGGAACAAGTATTATTTTTTATAACTGAAGTCTGTTTAAACTAGCGTACAATTTTTTAGGTAGAAAAAAATCCTAAACATCCATGTCAATTAAAAGTTTTATCAAGTTGAAGGACTGGGCAAGACTAAATTTCAATGTCTAAGTCTGAAGAAGTCATGGGTAAGATAACTATAATAAGAGTAATGAACTATGGTAATGGCACATGGATGACTCGGTGATGGGAAACCCACAGGGATTGATGGAGATGAAAAAAAAAATGTACAAAATGATGTTAAAAAAAAAGTTATAAATAAATCTTCAAAAAAAAGTAATGAGGAAGCAATTATTGTGACCACTGAGACAATGGTTACTTTTGAGGGGCTGCTGAGGAGCAATCAAAGTTTCACTGACATGAGTGAGCAGATGATAGTTATAAAGGGTGCACTCACCTGATAATGACCAAGCTACATATTTCTATACATTTCCTAAAGTAATCTATTGGTTTCTATATTTGTATTTTGCTTCACAATAAAAAGGTTAAAAGGTCTAGATTAATTTCATTCTTTCAGTATTTGAAAAAGTCAAATTTTCTTTAAGAGAATACACAAATGATGGAAAAATCACACCACTACAAAATTAAGGCAAATATTCACAGACAAATGGAAAGTAATATTCCCAGAATTTTAACATTGATTTAAAAATACATATTCTATGTTAACCTAAGGTAATTTTTACAAATATTATGGAAAAAAGAGGCAAAGTATTTGAATTAACAAATTAAGAAAAGACATAACATTGTTACAGTAAATAAGGAATTCAAATGCAATTTTAAAATTAAGACTAAGTTTCTTTATAGCAATTACATTTACTAAAAACAAAGTCACAGAGTACACCTTAAAAAATGAATGACAAAATTAAAACTATTTAAAAACATTATGCACAAACATTACAAAAAGAGCCTGAGAGTTGGGGGAAAGTACTAACCAGTTACTGCCAGCAGCTGTGAAACTCTCACCTCCATTTCCTCCCGATGAGACCTGTCTCTGTCTTCAAATTCCCGGGTCCTTCTCCTAGCCTCTTCAAAGGCTTGTTGTGCTAATGCATCCTCCTGCTGTGAGAAGAATACATGAAATGGGTATTTAAAATTTTTTTCAGAAATCCCCCCTCCCACCTCCCTGCCTCTCATGTCATCCCTTCACAGGGGATGGGTTCCCACAGCTCGGGCTCCTTTCCACTGGTTGTGATAAAGGAAGATTCTCTGGGTGGAGCAGGCTAGCGCTTCAGGGGCTTTAACCCAGGTACCTTTCTCATTGGCTTCTCTTTTAAAAATATTACTTTCTTTCATACATTTTTGGGAGCTATCTCAGTTCTTAGAGCACTTAATATGTTCAATATGAACATTAATTCTTTTGGCAAGAATCTTGTCCTTGTTGATAACAGTGCCAGCTGCATGCTGAGTAATTACAGATTCTTCCTGTTCCACCATAACATTTGTGGAGCATTCCTTTTGGATAGTGCTCGTTCCCGTCATGTCTAAAATATATAACCTTTCTTAAAGACTACACAGAGAACTACAGAGGGTATCTTTCCCCTTATCCTTTGTGTTGGTCATTTTCTGGTGATTTATTAGGAGGTGGAACTTCTGGTCAATAGGAAGGCATTATTTAAATTCTGATTTACAATAAAGAAATTTAATTTGGAGATTTTAACTTTTGAAGGACATAAAGAGAACAGTATTTCTCAAAACTTCAAAAATAAAATTTAATACAACACTTAAAAAAAGAAACAACTTTAGGTGTTTTCATGTTTTATTGTCACATCTTGGAAACAATAATTTTGGCCAATAATATTCTAACAACTGAAAATGTTCTTCCCTTTTCTTTTCTTTCCTTACCTCATTCTATCAGTAAAATCCTGGTTAAATCAATATTTAAACCAAAAAAAGTACAAAAAAAATGTTAGGTATACTTCAATAATTTGAAGATACAAGGTCCTCTATTTATGATAATAAACTCATAGGAGTAACAGAACTCATTATACAAATGTTAGAAATTCTAGGTAGCAAAAGGTACATAAAACTCCAAAGATTATTATCAAGAAAAAAACATTTGTAACATCTAACCAATCAATCTTAATCCTTTTCCAATTAATGGCTAAAGAGCTAAACAAGAAGGAAACCCATATATCTCAAATACACTGTCTCCTTTACTTTTCTTCAGTCTCAGCAGACACCCAAACTGCAGAAACCAGAGTCACCTTTCACTTTTTACTCTGAACTGTCTCCACCAAATCAACCAACCACCATCCATTTGATTTCCTAAGTATTTCCTAATCTTTAGTCTCTTATAAACATCTTCCTAGTTCAGGTTCCCCAGATCTTCTAGATTACCACACAGGTCTGCTAAACAGTTTCCTCCTGCTTCTGTCATTCCCAAGTTCTGGCAGAACTTGCCTTCTAAAGCAAAGTCTGACCATAGTAGCCCCAACTAAAAGAAGCTCCCTCACTGTCTACAGCACAGACTTACTCAACCTTTGGAAGTAAAACACTTCTGGATACTAGGATTTTTGATGCCACATGTAAGAAATTAAAAGATCAAAACAATACCAAAATCACCACTAGTCACCTACATTCTCTGCAGCAAGGGATGGTCTGGGAATTCAGTTCTACCTAATGAAATTGGAGGTGTAAGTCACCTAACAGTGCTTCTAAGAAAGGTGTTTAAGAGCTCTTTCACTCTTTCCTCCTTCCTGGGAACTGATACAGTGCCCAGAGGTACAACCATCATCTTCCAAACATAATAATGAGTATACAGTCAGACAAAGAACACTGTAGAGAAAGACAGAAAGATCCAAGGTCCCAATACTATAATTAAGTGCTAATCCAAGTCTAGATAGCTTTAAATCCATACGGTTTTAATACTTGAAATTTTCACTGACATGATGTGACCAATAAAGATGGTGTGACTAAATTTTCACTGTCATGATGATTCACTACATCTTTATGATATTGAACAAGCCTTTTCATTTCTCTACATCTCAGTAAATACACATAATATGAGCAGAGTAGGAATGCTTCACCACGCTGTTGTAAGATTAGATGAGAGATAAAATATAAAGTGCTAACTAAGCATACCCCCGGCAGCATTCATTAAATGCTAATTCTTACTTTACAGGCACTTACAGATATGTAAAAATGTACATTCAATTAAACATCATTACACATATCAACTATTCTCAGAATGCACAGTAACAGGAGCCCCACTTAATGTTATTGACAGCTTCCTAGAAACTGACACTTCAAACAAAAGCCTATAAAGAAAGCAGGTCCTTGAACACATCATTTGGGATTACTTTATTCTCATCAATATTATAAAGACACCTTGAACAGTGTTATTCAAGGGCCTTCTGTACTATATAAGCCAGGGGCATCTACAAAAGAATGTCTCATCCCCAAAGTGCAAAGGGTTTCTAGCATTTAGATTCCAGGTGAGGTCCATCTGCTGATAACAGGATACACTTTCTGTCCTGTGTGCTCATTCACACACTTTTCATTTATTCCACAAATATGTAGTGAGGCTGTATTATGCTTAAGTCATTGTACTAGGTGCTCTGGATATAATATGAGGAAACAAATGGTACTTTTCCCCATAATTTCTGTAGAGTGGGGCAGGTGGACAATGAACAAATAATTATTCAAATCAATATATAATTGTCAACTATGATTGAGTTCAGTAGAGGAAAATTACATGATGAAATGAGAACATGTGACATAGATGAGGTTTAATTCCCTAAGGAAGTTATTAGCCACTAATCTATTGCAGCAACAGTCACAGATTTTTACTTCACTATAAGAAAAAGAATTACTATGATAGTTATAGTAAAATAAGGCTAGAGAGATTTGGTAGTCCTCCACTTTTTTTATAAAGATTTATTTATTTATGCATACAGAACTGGGGTACAGGCCAGAGGTGCAGGAGCGGTGAGAGGCTTCACCAGAGACAGAGTGGGGAGCAGAACAGGCCGACTGACAAAGTACACTGCTGAGGGGAGCAGTGGGCGGGTCAGGAGAGGTCTGCCACGCCATGTGGATCACCTCCGGGGTGGGGACCGAACTCATGCTGAAGTGGCTTTAGCTTCTTAGTGCTGTGCTTTAACCAGCTGCGCCACCAGAGAGAGCCCCACTTGTGGGGAACAGAACAGACAGTTTGACTGAAATACACTGCTGAGGGGAGCAACTGGCAGGTCAGGAGAAGTCTGCCACACCATGTGGGTCACCTCCCTGGCCGGGGGTTGAACTCATGCTGCATAGCTGTGGAGAGCTTCGGAGTGCTGCGCTTCAACCCACTGTGCCACCTGGGAGGGCTTGTCTTCCACTTTTTAATTCCAACTTCTCCCCTGCTCTTTTTCAGGAAATGTGAAATATACATAGTAAAAGAGCCTGCAAGTTAATAGATGGTTAAAACCACTAATATCCCGCATCTTTCCTAGAGCAACCATAAGTAGCACTTCCCTTTGGAGGACAACATAAAGGGCACTTATGATTAGATCATATGTGCAGACAATCACACATGCTCAGACAGCTAGGAACAACTAATTCCTCATCTCAGGAGGTAGTCAGAGAAGCTTCCAATATTTGGTCTCTACTAGTACTTCATGGTCTATACCGGATTCTGCACAAAGTAGCTAGACAAGTGATCATAAAAGGTGACAAAATGTATGTAAAACCCATTAGGGAAACAAAGGCCTAGCAGTCCATCTTGTCACAGCGTACACTGCATAGTCTGGCTATTTTTGTCACAGTGATATTGTACTGCCTAAATCTACAATTATCTTCATAATTGTAATAAAGTAATACTTACCTTATGAAGCAATCAATTTAATAAATGGAGGTGTACGTTTAATGGAAAACTGAGAATCAATTTTTTTCCAAGAAAGTTGATGATTAAAGTGTTACTTGCATATGCACTATTCTGGTGGGGGGGGGATCAGAATGATATCACTGATCATATGAAAAGCAGAATAAATCTGCTGAGCAGCATCAACATAACTTCAAAGGCAACAATTTAACATTTGCAGCTGCAAATGGTACTTTTTTTTAGGGGAGGGCGGGAACACAGTCCCCCACTACCACAAATTATGCAGTTGAGTTTCCTACATTTGGGGAAATCGCAGGGGTGAGCACATCCTGAGTGCCTCGCCCCAGGAAAACCACCTTCGTGATCATGGTATCTCTCCTGCCAGGTTAAGTATGCAAATGGTACTTTTACCATAATTCTGTAGAATATAACTTCTAATTTAAGTAACTCTTCTAAATTAATGTCACTCACATTATCAAACACATAAAGGATGCCAGTTTTCCATCAGTGCTAAGAGGTACTTCAAACAGAAAATTTGTTATTTCAATACTGGTTCAACTTTTCTAACCTGATATAGAATCAAAACAAAATGTTTGAAAGCTCATTAGGCTAAAGGTTAAACATTTTTCTGTGACTGCCAAAATTAATTTTAAAAGTAAAACAGTAAGGGGGCCTTCCTAGTGGCACAGGAGTTAAAGTTTCAGCACCATCAAGCTATCACCAGCCACTGTGGCATAAGTTCGATCCCCGGCCAGGAAGCTGACCCACATGGCACAGCAGACCTCTCCTGTCTCATCCACTGCTCCACTCAGCAGTGTTATTTCGGCAGATCTGTCTGTTCTGCTCCCCACTCTGTCTCTGGTGAATCCTCTTACCCCCTGCACCTCTGGTCTACCCCCCAGTTCTTATATACATAAATAAATCTTTAAAAAGACAGTATTAAAACAAAGTACAATAATAATATAACATTTCTGGCTCTTACTCCAAAATCTTTGCATTATGTGAAGCCAGTTATTGCATTAGCTGAACTATCACAAAAGATGATACTTTCTTTGTATTGCTAACACTCAGTTTGTGGACTGGGGAAAATAGCTTGGAAAATTCTTAGTATGAAAAATGCTGTGGCTTAAATTATTTTTACTATTTATTTAAAAATATTTATTTACTTATACATTCAGGAGCTGGGGTGTAGGCTAGAGGTGCAGGGCAGTGAGAAGATTCACCAGAGAAGGTGGGGAGCAGAATGGGCAGATCTATTGAAAACACTGCTGAGGGGAGCAATAAGCAAGACAGGAGAGGTCACTGCTGCACTATGTATGTCCCCTCCATGGCTGGGGATCAAACTCATTGTGCTGCAGGGACTGTTTATAGCTTCATAGTGCTGAGACTTCAACCCTTGTGACACCAGGGAGGTCCATACCTGTTGTTTTAATAAAACATCCAGTTTTAGAAGTCAACTCTATCTGAAAATTTTCCCTTATATAATTTCAATCTGCTGTATCACTTAGTCGTCCATACTGCTCATTACTGACTACTTTTCTGAGTCAGGGGACCCCAAATCTCTATGGAAATAAAAATATGTTTGAAAAAGATGCCTTTTAATAATTTAAATTCTGAATCTGCATTATTTAGTTGTAAGGTCTTCTTTCTTTTTTTTTAAGTCTCTTGATATTAATAAAATTTTCACATTTCCAAGCATGTAAAACAACACAGTAAAAGACAATAGAATGACAAAAAGGTTAATTCTGTAGCATCTCTTTCCCAAAAGCTTACAGGCTGATACCACTGCTTAATTTTTTTTTTTTTTTTTTTTTTTTAAGTCTTGCTTTCTAGGGGTTTGCTCCTGGGTCAACATAACTTAGTGGTCAGCTATGATGGTCAGAGGTTTTGCTTAATCACCTCAAGCCACTTACAAAGTACAGGAAGTTTCAGCCAGAGACTTGTAGCCTGAAAGAGCACTCTTTGTTTACTCCTGAACAGGTGTAGTCTAGCACATACACACAGTCTTCTGGACCATAGGTTAAGTGTGATCTTACTGAGGTCAACTTCAGCTATCTCTTTTTCTAAGGCTGCCTGATAAAATTTCTGGATAGTCTGCATTTTACTGCTTCCTTTAATGCCAGCTCTCACCAACTGTTTGTGACAGAGAACTCTATTGTTTCTAACACGTGGGCATGGATTTAATCACGTCAACTCCCTCTAATAACAGCAGAGTCCTCAGGACTCCCTGTCTCCTGATGGTGTAATGTGAGGGACCACGGAGCAGAGGGAAGGGATGAGAGTGACCTTACTGAAATGTTACAGACTGCCACTATGCTTATTGAAGTTCCACATTTATTTGAATAAATGCCTCTCAATTTATGTCCTTTTGTTGATTTCCAGACATCTTAACTGGTTATAAGTAATTTTGTCCAGTTTATTCTCTGCTTTCTAAGAAGAGGACTTGCCCAAGCTCCTCACTTAGCCATGCCACAAATCCTGGTTCTACACTTACTTTGAACTGTTTTTTCCCTCATAATGTTCTGAAAATCAAGTACAAAATATTAAGCACCTTTTTTTTTAGTCTCCACGTGGTAGGTTGGTTTCTTGCCTTCTCCATATGGTTTATTTCTAGTTTGATTCCTTCGTGGTCGGAGAATATAGTTGGTATGATTTCGATCTTAGTGTATCTATTGATATTTATCTTGTGACCCAGTATATGGTCAATCCTAGAGAATGATCCATGTGGATTTGAGAAAAATGTGTACTAGCACCTTTTACTAGGATTTGAAGTTCCCCCACCAAACAGATAGGGGTATCCCAACAGAAATTAGAATCAATGAGGGAAAAGCTTTCCCAATATCAGAATCAGAGTTGGGTCTCAACATCTTCAAGAGTCCTCACATTCCTTGACCGTGTACTTTTTAAGAAGAGGTAAAACAGATCCACAGACAAAGGCCAGGTTAAGGGGAGAAAGAGGGACTGTGTCCAGTAAAGCTGGTGCTGACCTACCTGGGCTCGCTCCTCATCAAATTCCAGGCAGCCCATGCCATCCAGCCTCTGGAGATCAATCCAGCCTTTCCAAATAACACAGACTCCATTCAGGATCATGGGAGCCTTCAAATAAACCTAAGACACAGAAAAAGAAGGATGAAATCAATGATAAGCCATCACATGTGAAAAACAAAGATAACCTTACTTTCACCATAATTTTTTTAAGTAAATAAAAACCCACAGAACAAGTCTTTACTTCTTGTATGATTTCCAAATCCAGATAATTTTCAGTTACCAAATTAATTTTTTATTGACTGAAAATATAATTGTTTTAGAGCAATTCAAACTTCATCAAGAAGGAAAAGTGCTAATGCTGTCACCCTGAGATGAGTATTTTGATACAATAAGAAATGTGTATTTACTACAATTCTTACATTTTCCACCTTAACATCACTTTTTTTTAAAAAATTGATTTATTTGTGCATACAGAACTGGGATACAGGCCAGAGGTGCAGGGGTGGTGAGAGGATTCACCAGAGACAGAGTGGGGAGCAGAACAGGCCAAATGGTGAAGTACACTGCTGAGGGGAGCAGCGGGCGTGTCAGGAGAAGTCTGCCACACCATGTGGGTCTCCTCCAGCGCCAGGATCAAACTCAGGCTGAAGTTTCTTTAGCTTTGTAGTGCTGTGCATTAACCAACTATGCCACCAGGGAGGGCCACATCATTTTTAATGCTTTTAAAATACAATGTTAGGGCCCTCCCTGGTGGCGCAGAGGGTTAAAGCACAGCACTGAGAAGCTAAAGCCACCTCCACATGAGTTTGATTCCCGCCTGCCCAGGAGGTGACCACATGGCATGGCAGACCTCTCCTGACCTGCCCCCTGCTCCCCTCAGCAGTGTACTTTGTTGATCTGCCTGTTCTGCTGCCCACTCTGTCTCTGGTGAAGCCTCTCACTGCCCCTGAGCCTCTGGCCTGTACCCCAGTTCTGTATGCACAAATAAATAAATCTAAAACAAACAAACATAAAAAAAACAACACAATGTTAGTTCAGGTCTTTCTTAACTAGTTTAACATGGACTTCCTGAACACATATGCACATAGATTTTTTAATCTTGTTGTCTTAACAAATATTTCTGGAAATGCAGAAGCAGGATTTCAATGAGCTTTCAAAACTCCAGGTTATCAAATACAACCTTTACAAGAGCCTCATAAAGAGTTAATATACATATTGGATAATCCTAATATTCCTGTGAGCTAAAATTAGCATTATTTGTTACACATTAATTCTGTAAAAATTTCCTAAGACCGTTTTTCATTTATTTAATATAGTCTTATTTTTCAAAAGTTGGTTCAACCTGGTCATGAATCTTCACCAGAAGCTGGGACACCTACACCATAGGTTTTTCTGATGTAAACTGCTCTCTTCTGAAACAGGTTCAGTAAGTCCCTTACTAAGGACACCCTGACCAAGGAAGGAACCACGAGGCTTCCGCCTCTCAGACACACAGCTGGGATTACAAACTTACTGCTGAGAATTTCTTTCTGAGTAAAAAGTTGGAAGCACCACCTTGTTCTCTACTCAATTCAGCAGTTTCTTCAACAAAGAATTTGGGGGCATTCTTGTTTTTACAGGTTTACTAAGCATAACTGTTAATAAGTATAAATATGAGAGAAACATTACAACTGAGACTATATAGAAAACCCGTAAGACTTATATGCCTTCATGGTATAGATTTGTGTCACCCTCCACTTCATTATCTAACACAACCTTTATTCCTGTTAAGGTTCTAATAAACCATGTTGAACCAATTTGTACTGGAAAAAAAGAAAAGCCAAAAACTAAGGCTCCATTTCTCCTCCTATTTGGACCAAGGGAAATAGTCTACAGTTATAGCTGAAACCGTTTAACCACACATTTCCTTCTGGTCTGATAAGTGCTCATTCCCTTCCACATTATAAATTTAAAACCCCACTGATGTGTACCTAGTCAAACAAATGATTATGACAAGCTCTTATTCAACATCTCACTAACAATCCCCCCCTTCATGGCCTATCAATATAACTTGACTTGCCACACCTACTCAAAATTTATACCTATTCTTTCTAATGGGGCAGGTGGTATCACACAATGAGAAGCATAACATTTCACCTATTCATGCACCTCATTATTTTAAGTTCTCATCTAATCATGAAGATAATTCTTACCCAATAGAGAAAGGCCAATTTGATCATCAATGATTTATGTTTTATAGAATCAAAAATTCCATAATCTAGCTTTTCACATTAACCTCCATAGTCAAAATAATTTTCTCATGAACTTTTTAAAAAGTCCATTTATCACTTCTTTATAAAATTTCTCTCTTGACAAAGAAAACCACTGCTCTATTTGGGCAATTCCTAAGTGGGTTTAAAAAATGGCTCCAATTCTTAATCAAGGCTTGTGCATGTAATCATAGTTTAAAATAAAATTTAGATTATCCCACTTATTTATTTACATGTTCACATGAAAGTAGTTTTATATGTAGATCTTCAAAGTTAAGGCTTGGCACTTTCATACATTCATAAACACCAAACCACAAAGGATGAAGACAATAACATTCTGTCTCTTAACAGTTTGACATTTTGTAATGTAATTCAATAAAGTCAGTTAAACACTAAAACTTTTTCACTTAAAATAATGATGCCTTATTTCAAATTGTGAAAAGAAACTTATTAGAATACGATCTAGGGATTAAACCTATCACCCTAAAACAATTAAATATATAGGTAAAAATGGGCTTTATAAAGCCTTTAAAATGGGTCACTAGATTAACATTTGTGGTAATCCTCTTATGTAAAGTTGATATAAATACTCAATTAGTGAATACTAAGTAATTGCTTCCAGGAAAACACAGCTAGGTTCCTATAAGCCTCTGGTCACCTCTTCCTCAGCCAGTGAGTACATGATCTTGTGTTATGTCTGTTTGTGTTTACAGATACCTTATTTAATACATATTGCCAATCAAACACACCACCAACAAAAGACCAGTTCATTTTTCCATACATAAAATATCAGAGAATGTGTGTAAGACTCACAGAATTTTCCTTTACGCCAGCAATGTCATACCTATGGATGTGTACTCAAACTTAATCCAAGATGTGCACAAAATACTTGATTACAACAAAAGTTTACTCAAGGAATTTTTAGCAATAATGGAAGACTAGAATAACCTAGATATTCAATATCTTCTTATGAGACGTTACCTAATCAAGCAATTTGTATTAAATAAGGTATCTGTAGACACAAACAGACATAACACAAGATCATGTACTCACTGGTTGAGGAAGAGGTGACCAGAGGCTTATAGGAACCTAGCTGTATTTTCCTGGAAGCAATTACTTAGTATTCACTAATTGAGTATTTATATCAACTTTACATAAGAGGATTACCACAAATGTTAAGAGTCAACTGTGATTATTTTTAAAGGAAAAAGAGTATTATTGCTATGCTTAACCCTAAGACCTCATAGGAAGGACGAAAACAAAATTTACTTTGGAATCAGATAAAACCTGGGTTTAAATTCTGTGTGAGTCTGAGAAAAATTACTAAGTTTGCTAGACGGTTTCTGATTCTTCAACATACAAAACCAGGCTAAATAATGCCATTTTTATAGGCTACAGGAATAACTAGTTAGTGTTTGTAGAATTTATGAAACATACAGAGCACCATAGAAACCCAACTGTTTACACACATATTTCCACTAATTAATTTCACACAGTACTTACCTTCCTAGGGAAAGAAGACTGTTTTTGACACAATGAAGTCTTTCCCACCAGTGAGTCAGCAGAGAAACATAGTGCAATGTCACTGGCACCCAGGACAAAAAGATTTTCCACTAGGAAATATGTACCCTGCCTTTTAGTTGTAACAATTCCTGTAGTCTATTTAACAGATTCTTTCAGAGATACTTTATTAATACTCATCCTGTTTAGCTACTTGCTCCTGGCTCAAAGGGCTCATCACATGTTAATAATCACCACTGTTATTCAACCTCACTTGCCTCTGAATTATAATAACTGGGTTGCATGTAACTATAAACAATTGTTTATAGTTGTTGTAAAAAAGTAAAAAAAATGTAGAACTCGATCAATTTGGGACAGCTTATAAAGCATTCTGACAACAAAAATGACATTCTTCTGAAAAATGATGTCTAGTGAAAACTAACAATACATGACACCAGATTTGTGTGGTACTGTACAGTCTGTATATATTATCTGTATGCTCTTTGTGTTTTCAGAAGAATGCTCCACCTAGAGACACTGATGGTTGTGTGAAAGCTAATCCTTTTGTGAGTCAATCATACCATTTACATGTAGACTCAGATATACAAGGCTTCTTTAAATAGAAAAATATTTGTTGTCTAGTCTAAAATTTGGTTAACGTGTAATAAGATTTATATGCTTACATAAAGTTTTTCTTCATGGAGGTCTATTAGAAATCTGCTGGCTTCCTCACTATATTAAAATGTAATTTTTTCTAAAGTAGTCTAAATATCACAAGCCACTATAAACTTGCACACTGTGGAGAACTCTGAAGCTATTTCTGGATTCTCTAAAACTCCATGCCTCCACTTTGAACTTAATTTAAAGAAGCTCCTGCCCCACCACAAAGCAGTTTCATACTGCTCCTGTCATTTCTTAGCTCTTTCTTCAAATACTTAACTACTCATGTTTAGTTAGCATTACCACTTTAAGTTTGTATATTTTTTTAAAACTTTCAAAAATTTTCCAAGTCCTACTTGACTATTAAAACCATTTGATAAGAAAATTTTAAAACGAGAAATTAAAGCTGAGAGACATTTACATGATTCACTTTCAGATTTACACACAGCTATTAAAGGGTAACAGCTAGCATCCAAAACTCCTGAGTATATTCACCTAAACCACAGTTGTATTAGTGAATTGCATTATTAATGTTTTCCAAATATTTCAGTGTACATGAAAATAGACTGCTTCCTAAAGAACAAACAGACTGGTTAGTCAATTGCATGGTTAAATCCAGAGCATCTAGAACAAAATTAACATTAACTCTTTATATGTCTTCAGACTAACACCCTATGGCTACTTCCTGTCTTCCCAAAATCAAATTAATTT